GTCGATGCGCCGTGCGTTCTACTTCCATGCTGAATCGTAGTGGCATTTAAAGGCAATTTGGTCCATACAGTGAGCTGGGGGGGGACTGATCGACGAACATGTCGGTAATTTCATCCTCTCAGATAACTCTGCTACCTATGAGCGGGCTACGGAGTAACGAAGAGCTTGGTTTAGCCAGGCTGAGGTCGATCTAGAGCGTCGAAAGTGGTCTCACTACCAAAATGGCCTACCTTCGACCAGTAAGGCCTAATATGACATCTGGCCTTTTTTCTGTAGTGCACGTAAATAGTGTTCAACCCAACCTGCTCTATTCCTTTCTAAGGCTTGCAGAGAAAAATTTGGCCCCAAACCTAGCTTCCGCCGCATTCAAATGAAGCACGTAGCTACCATTTCGTGCGCTTTTACATCACTTGAGTTGTACTAAATCGAACCGAAACTACAATAATACCCAGCGCTAAATTGAGCCTACAATAGGAAGAATGGTCTCCCATTAGATGGGGCACTGCAGTGGCTAACAGTAGCGAGTATATTGTTGATAATTTCTATTCTATATTGAGCTAGAAAAAAAAAAAATTCGCAACAGTGACAAGACTTTCTTTCCAGCCTAATAAATTTAAAAATGCTTCGATCGTGGCTGAAAACATTTAAAGCCAACATTTTTTGCAGCTTGTCATCACAGCTGAACGTGTGGCAACAATGAAAGATGTGATGCAGGATTGGCGACGGCATTTCGTGTTATTTGCCGACTGGTTGCATGCATTACCAGAGTTCGCATCACTCAGTGTTGATGATCAGGTGCGTCAAAGTTAGGGAACCTTCATGATCACCACCTAGGGACCTTCGTGTCCAATGGCGTCGCTTAGGCCTGAAATATCGCTTGAATCCGCTGATATGACATCCTGAACCTTGTCTTCTTCATTACTTGGTTTACGGATGTGCGTGGAAAGGCTGGCGGGCCGCACCCTGCAAGCGAGTTCACTCCCTGGCATCTGCAGATAAGGCAGTGGCGGGGGGGCGTGTTTATCGACGGGCTATTTTGTATTGTAACGCTTCCCTGTTACGTTGTGAAATCTCACTCTGGTAAAACTTTCAGTCGACATCAGTGAACGCTGCGTAGCGGCGGCACGATCGTCCAGCACCATCCTGAAAACGGTCAACTCGAAAAAAGGGACTTAGATGAGGTGGCCAAATCTAGAAAAGCGAGATGCCCCCCCCCCCCCCGTCGATAAGCAGCCCGGCGTGGGTACGGAGACCTGTGCTGCGGTTCAGGGACAAGAGCATGTTCGGCTCTCGTGGATATTCGCACAGAACTAACTGAACTAGAGTGAAAGTGCTGACGGCCTGCTAGAGTTGAGGGCTTGCGCATTGCTGTAATGTGGTTCTCGTGGTCATAGAGGTAGGCAGGTTTTATCCAAAGTATCCGCTGTAGGCTCACTTCGTTTCTTTTCACTCTTTACTGCGTCCTGTTATTTTGGTGGAACGGATTACTGTGAACGCTCACTACTATCCACTGAATATGGCAGTCAGCTCGAAGCAAAACAGCTCTTTGAGGCGGTGGGCGATGACGCTTGTGCCGCTAACGTCATTGTTGAAGGCCGGTGTTGCACAGTAGGCAAACGCTTCATCCACCCCTCATCAGATGACTATGCAACAACCGCACAGCTCCAGCAATCTACTCCAGCTATGTCTTTGAGTCCTATCCAGCACTCGAATCATTTGGTCCTGGTCCTCATCCCTTGTCCATGCATCTCTCTTCTTGCTATAGTGGCAAAAAAAGAACGAAACGAAATTGAATTGTTACAGATCTTAATAGCCAAAAGTCGATTCAATCCATTCTACTGGTGGTTATGCGCGAACTGGACGAATGAGGCTTGTTGTGATGGCGTTTGCTACGCGAATGGCACTTACTTCCCCCGATCAGAAGCCCTTCAATGCTTTCCCGACGTACGGTACGTTCATTGATAGTAATGTGCAAGGGCTATATAATATAGTAGTGAAATAATCGTGTGAGGGAGAGGTGGTCTAGAATTGCACTATGCCGCTTTGCCCCTCTTGGTTCTCGTCAGCGCCAGTCGGAAGCAGCCAACACTGTCTCATTAAGAGGGCGCAGGCGAGCGGAAAAAATGCTCAATTTAGAATAAGTGCACCATCGTGGTCTTATTCCTTTGTCAGTTCCCTTAGATGGTAATATAGTAGTCAGTCGGTGGCGTGGACAGTGAATTATCAACATCGTCAGTAAAGAGCCCTGATTGCACCCACCCCCAACTACTCACTATTTTGTGACCTAAGGGCGAAAACCAAGGTAGATATGACTTAAGACGTAGTCCACGGTTCCCATTCACAGTTACTAACGTTCACTTTCCAGTGGAGGATCATATTTGGAAAACCGCCTGAAGAGAACGTTCCTTTTCGCAGCTCATTTTGAGCATTGCACGTGTAAGCAGAAAAGCGAGAGCTGGCGATGCATTGAGCGCGCCTGAGAGAGATCAGGCGACGATGACCAGAGAGCACACAACCGCGCAAAGAACGAGGGCGCGAATGTTAAGCGTACCGAAGGCATTTGTGCATTCACGACGGTACATTTCTGGCTCATCATGCCATCACAAGCTCTGGCATTCCTACCACAAATGTTTCAGAGGCAACTACGGGTACACTCCTTTTCGCTGCAGACGCTAGGGCATGTCAAAGGGCTGAGTTTGGCGCGGCTACAGCCCATCTTCAAAAATTGTTGAAACGGGCGTGCGACGAAAAGCTCGCGCCGCACCAAACTCAGCCCCGGCCTCAGGCACGCCCTGGCGTCTGCAGCCAAAGAGACTACAGGGGGAGGGCAATAAAAAAGACACTTCGACCGAGTTACATATCAGCAAAATTTTCGCAGCCCAGACAGAGGACGTGGATACGAGTACCAGGGCGGAAGATACCCAAGATGTTCCTCTATAAGCAGGAGCTGGCTCTCGCCCATCACCTTCATGTACACCAAAATATGAAGTCATCTCCAGTCGCAGCCTTTGGAATTCATGTCACCTCCAAACAGCTGCGAAACTTCTAGTATGGAGTCACCCATGGATAGCTACCTGGAGAGTACTCTCGATCTGGAAGACCTCCATCATCGAGCAGCTCCGTCAACGTCGCTACGGTCTAGGACATCATCTTCACCTCAGTCGCCAAGGCGCCAGTTGATGGTGGGGACCGGACGTACCTGGAATGGAAAGACCGATATTTTCTTCGTGGACCCCGGACTGAAGGTGAGCGCTGGCGGTTACATCGAGCAACTCGAGAAAAATATCTTCGTTGGAAAAACTCTCGCCTACTTGGAATGGAAGGGCGTTGAGTTCCTGAAGAAGATGGAATATCAAAGCGGGTCACCTGACCTAAACCCCATCAATTACCTGGTTCGGGCGGAGTTCAATAGGGTGGTCTACAGTGGCGGAGAAATCAACGATCTCGCTGAACTCAGGCACCGAACCATGGTTGCGTGGCAGAATCTCTCGATGGCGGTGGTCCAGAAGGCTGTGGCGGAGTATCATGATAGTATTTAATGCTCTTTAATATGGTAGTAAAAGGTCCGATCAGAATTCAATAAAGTGTAACTTATAGCGCCTCGAAAGTCAAGGAAAAAAATGTCTTTTTTTATTGCCCCCCCCCCCTCTGTATACATTCGTCGCAGCTGTGGACCTGCACAGTTGATCCGAGAAGAATCCCATTTTCCAAAAAATCGCGGAATGCGTCCTCATATTTAAGCGACTTCAGGTGAAATCTCTGCGCCGTAGAAATTGCGCTTTAAAATGCCGCTCTGATAGCCAAAATAATTTGGAATTTCCGGTGTTGTTAATATGCTATGGTAGACTTACATCGTTGCAGGGGATGTTGCGAACGGATGGTACTGACATTGTCCGAACCACTTCGTGAGCTACAACTCGATGAAACCGAGAAATGCCTAATGCTTGCAGTAATCGTGTTCAGTGATGGTATGTGAATTTCCGTTCCTTTTCTCTTTCCTTGTTACTCAGGTTATTTTTGGTTATCGCGCTGTCATCACTCCAGTTTTTCGATTTTGTAAAAAATAAGGGCGGGTTCCACACCGATAATCTAGTCGGAGACAGTAAGCTGCTGACAGTAAACTTTAATTGGTGGCGTTTCCATCTCTATTACATTTGTGTGGAGAAGACGTAAGAAGATTCACTTATACAGCTTTTCATCTCATAGGTCTGACTCCACCCCTGTGACCAACGTGGACTCTGCCCTCCAACCATGACTTCGAAACATTTTCGAAATCTTTGAACATTCACGTAGAAGACGTGATCACTGATTGTCATTAGGTCCCTCACTGATTGTCATTAGGTCCTTGTAGGTTGTGAGGATGCCCTATTTACCGTTGATGTTAAAGCGCAGTCATTCGGTGAGGTGTTAGGCGCATTGACTGCTGCCCCTGCCGCACTATTATCTAACGTAGAAGCGCTGGCGTGGTTAGGCTTGTCCTACACCTCCTATACTGCTCCAGATATCGCTGCTGCAGCGATATCTCCGCCGCCTTGATGGTGATTTTTTTATACTCTATTTTCTTCAGAACCTCTCGAATTATCAATGTCTGGCAAGGAACATGTTCGAACTATGGGACATCGCTTTATGCGAATGCTTCATCATCATATCCGAAATCGAGAACCTGGTCTACCTAACTCGGCGATAGCGTTACGTATAGCAAAAATTACAATTCTGCTCACTGCTACGACGGTGAGTGAATGATTTCTTCATGTTCTTTTGCCGCTACAATAGAAGGAATCGCCTCAGATTCCAGTTCTCACCTTCGAGCGCTATGCCACATCGCGACCCTCTCAGGACACATCGTTAGCTGGGGATTTTCGTCGAGCCCGAACGACCCCCCCCCTTTTTTTTAGGGGGTGTACGACCCCTGGTTCCCTCCACGAGCTGTCGAGCGAGGGGTGTGGGGGTAGGGGGAAAGCTCATGTGAAATGGAAAAAACCGCGAAGAAAATACGACCCCTCTGTCAGATTTTCCCCAAACTTCCCCGCTTTCCCGGAATTTCCTCGAAAATTTTCCCATTTTTACCCAATTATGCTGTAGAGCGGAACGGAGGGGGGTTCTGGTATACAGCACATATGAAACAGGAAAAACCACAAAACGTCAGTTGAGCAACCTCTCGACTCCCTCCTTCATAATGTTCTGAAAACAAAGAAAACCATGTTATGAAAAAGTTTTTTCTCGTCCTAAACACGACTCCTCGCCGTCTACCAGCGACCAAATACCCCCCCCCGTTGGGGAATTCCCAGCAGCGATGTGCCCTGGACTCCCTTGGATGCTTACAATTAGTATTCGCGCCAAAGGCTCATCGCGTTGTGTGAAATTTTTGCCAAATACCAACACCCCTAATAATTTCCCTGCTTCACGGCATCCTTTCACTTCAGAACCTACAAAACATCTCACTGATTTTATGTTCAATTTTTGCCCATTTTTTCGATTTGCAAAAATATTGAAGTTACTGTTGCTCAGTCGTCAATGATAGTATGGCGAGAATGAAATCTAGGAAAAATTGTATTTGCGCATTTGCCATTTTCTCTGGCCATTCACGAAGCCGAAACCAAATGTGTAAGAACAGCTAGACCTCTACAGCTGCGGGAAAAATCTTGAAAACAAGCTAAAAAATTCGGAATTTTGCATCATTATTATTACTAAATTTTTCGCCCTTGATTGTTACCGCAATATAGTGGATATAGATACAGTACGCCTGGAAATTGTTTTTCTCAGAATTAGGTTGTCCGGAAAGAAATGTGCGTTGGATTTGTCCAATCGTTGCTCTCCTACTATTGAAAATTTTTCAATACATTGTCTATTAGAGAGCAGATGTCTATTTTGTTTTTTCATAAGATGAGAGAAAAGTTACTTCTTCTCTCTTCTCACTGCGTCGTCAAGGTGTCGAAACGACGTCGACAAAACTCCTCCACGACAACGCTCGTCCACATGTCGCGAAAATCACTTTGGAAAAAAAATGAGGAATTGGGCTGGGAAGTACTGCCATCATCCGCCCGTTACAGCCAGGACTGCGCACATCGATGACCATTCTGTTCGGCCGATGCAGCACTTCACTGCGAGAGAAAACTTCACCAAAGCCACGAAGAATTCCAACTCTGGATGTCCAACTAGTTTGAGCCGCAGCCGGCCCAGTTTTTCGAAAGAGAAATCCATCTTTGCATAAGCGTTGGCGACAAGTCATTGACATTAGCTGGAGATTATCTTTTGAATTAAATCTTTGTTTATTCTTCGTTTTTTATAAGAAAAATTTTTTTAAAACTCGACACGGCTATTTCCTTTCGAACACCGTATAGTTAACAGGACATTCAAAAACAAACGCGTTGCAAAAATGACCCCCAGCAAACACAATATACGTGAGCGTCTAAGTTTCCGCGCACCAAGGCTAGCATCCAACTGAACAATTATGATCCGAAAGAGACCACCCTCAACCCATCGGGCACTCATGAGAATACGTGAGCCAACAGAAAAATAAGAACCACCAAACGATATGCGCATTCCATGATAATTCTAGGGAATTTGGAGCTGAACATCCGTGGATATCCCTGAAGTTCGTGTGGAGTCGATTCCACGGATTGAAGGTCTTAATCAAGTCCAGTAGCAGGCATTCAAATACCAATAGCGCCTGTAGTAGTTTTTTTTCTTGTTGTTTTAGCTCTCGCTATCTGCTTACCTTCCACTTGTTTTGCTGTTGAGTAGACCTTGAGAACAGGCCTGCGAAAACGCGATTTTTGTGGCACTCCAATTTTTTTCCGGCAGCTGTAGATGTGGGCTGACTCGAAGAGGAGGGGGAAGGGGAGTCGGCGGTAGCCTCACTTATGCATTTGTTCGAAAACCTGGAATGTCATCCTGACTATGCAATACCATGCGCAGTACTTTCAGTGCGAACTTTGCCTCCCTCTGTTACAGAGTTAGGCGACTTTTGTTAAAATACTCATCCAAATTCACTACATGAAAATATAATTTTATTATAATCTATCGTATTATATGAGAACGAGTCATTACTATAAATTTGTTCCAGAATTTGGTGTATATGGCCAGTGACAATATACAATTGAATGACGTTCTGCATATTGTCGATTATGGATCGTGGCCTGATGATTTCATGAAGAACAGCTTCAAGGACCCAGGACTTTGAGCAGAGCACTGCGGATTTATCATTTCATTCTCAGTCGAGCTTCTACTTCCTCTGAACATTCCTCCTCCATGAACAAGTGAGGGTGACACTTGTATGACCTGAAGCTCCAGCTAGGTCCTAATAGCGAGTTTTATAGGTGGTTGGTCAGTAAGGGTCATCTCACGGTTCTTGAGTATTAGCCATTAATTATTTTGAGTACCTGCAGTCAATATCCTTGTAAACGAGAGGGCGATGTGGACTGGAGCACTTCGGTGCAACTTTTTCCACCAATTGTGGTGGCATCAGAATGGCATCATTGGTGGAAAAGACAGCCCTGCCACACGCCCCTCTTGTTTGCAGGGATAATGCCTGTATGTATTCGAATTTCGGGTAGCTCATCGAGTTCACACTGGTCCTGATCCTCGCATGTAGCGTTGTTCTTACTCGTTATTCCTCATGTCATTTCTACATTGTTGGGCATTTCCTATGCTCTAATGTCTTCGTGTTCCCCATTTTGTTATTTGGGCCAAATATGATTCGAATTGTTGCATAGTTAACCTCTACAAGTTCAGGTTACAGAGTTTATGAGAGTTTTCCGAATTGTTACCGTAACGTTTTGGCCATCAGGGAAATCACCCAATCGGGTAGATTAACCATAATCGTGTAGACATCGAAGCAAGCGTCGGAAAAGTGGCAGTAGTCAAACCACACATACCCGATCAGTTTTCTTTAATAGCTCCCGGTGATGATTTAATGGGTAATTTTCCCGACCAAGTGATTTGATGCTTTCTGTGAGGTGCGGTCAGGAGATCCGAGCTGTGGTGACATGCAAATGCGGCACGCGGCAGTGCGCGGCATTTTCTAGTTGATTGACTGTGCTTACCGAGAATACTCCCGCGTTATACTGAATCGGGGCCCAATCAGTGAACCAGGATGGAGGAGAGGGACAAGACAATCGTAATTTGTCGCGTTGTCGCGCGCGGCGTGTCGTACGGCTACATACGGCAACTTCTCAATGTCAGTTGTAGCAGCCAAACGCATCCGAATTCAAACAGATGCCAGATCCATGGAGAGCGATATCGAATTTTCTCTTCCCTTCGTTCCCCAGATTCGCAGGCATGACGACACGTCCATCGGTCCCAGTGTCGCCCGACACGCCTATCAGCGCGGCACAATTGTCGATTGTCTTGTCACTTACCCAGGGACGCGCAGCCCAGATCTCCTGACCGTCCCCCTTTTGAAATTTGGTAAGCGCTGCTGCCTGATTAGTGCGCATCTGCGTACACATTCTAGGGGCACATATACTCGAAATCCCTTGAACGATCGGGTAGGCGGAGCATTCGAACACTGTACGGAACTGGTTACTAGTGGAATATTCCAGTCTGGGACAACTGTCATCTTGTTCTGTGTTGGACAGAGACACGACAACAATTGTGTCGAGATGAAAATATCGCATCAGAAGCGTAGACGCCTTAAGGGTAAGTTGAAACATGCGGCCACGCCTACCCGATCTCAGGGATCTCGAGTGTACAATGACAGGTCAGTGCACAGACAAAGAGGATTCCTCTGCTTCTCTGTCCTTTCCATTTGTGGCAGAAGTAACAGTATATGCAAAAGATGCGGGTCGCGAACTAAAATGGTGTCAGTTGTGGATTTTTAGAAATTCCCTAATGTGAATGTTCAGAAGTTCTTCTGCTTACAGCAGTAGGCCATGATTCTGTCCCTGCTCAAGAGCGAATTTAGGCCGACGAGTCCCAGTCAGACTTTGTGTGCTAGTCCCATATTGAATATGAGTCGATATGTATCTGTGTGTTATTGTTTATTTCTTTACAACTGACACTGTTAATAGGGACATATGTTGATAATGTTGATCGTTACCTTCGTTATTTAACCTCACCTATGGGGTCCATTACTGTTGCTTGTCTGAATCCATTACAGCCTATTTGTTGTACACCCGATGATTTTTCTCACCCGAAATTCCTCTCGTGTCAAAATAAAAGGTCCCTATTATGGGTCATGAAGTCGCTAGATGTCTAGTTTCAAAGAGTCTAATGAATATGGTATCTTTTGTTCGAGTCGGAGAGTTGATAAAATCTGGGTGAGCACCTGGATAGCTTCATTTTTCGAAAAATATTTCGGAACTATTTCTCACAACGTCGTGGCTAGGTCTGACAAGAAGAGAGCATCGGTGGAGTACACTACCGCCGTCAACAAGTATGGCATAGATGGCCTCCCTTAGGCTGCGTTCACACTTTGCGGCAGCGTCCACCAGCGTCTACCAGCGTTCGCCAGCGTCTACCAGCGTCCACCAGCGTCTCGAGGGCCTGGGAAGTATAGGTATCGATCTAGCGTCTACCAGCGTGTGCCAGCGTGCACCAGCGTCTCCCAGCGTCCAGGAGAGGAGAGTGTGGCGTATAGGGAGATAGGAGGGTGGCAGATAGCTGGTAAAGGGTATGGCGCGACAGGAGGGTACCAGCTGTCTGCTACCCTCCTATCGCGCCATATTCTCCCTCCCGGTGCGGGTAGACGCTGGTGCACGCTGGCAGACGCTGGCAGACGCTAGATCGATACCTATACTTCC